CGTGTTGCCTATAGTCGTAGTATTAATCATTAATCATAATAACATTGTGCATTGATTTCTAGAATAACTTCTTAAACCTGCACCGCAGCCCCTCGATTCATATCCAGTTTTGGTTGTTGCGAGTTTCACTGCAACCAATTCTGGATCGCGCAGTGTATGACAAAAATACACGAAAATCGGGTTCGTTCCGAAGGATCTCATATTATTATCATCATAATTCCCGGATAGGACAAGAAACGTGCGACGTTGACGTTCTAAACGGCCTAGAAACACATCGTGTATAATGTATTCACAAATTTGTAATTATTTCGACTTGGAGTTGGCGGTACACCTATATAGTATAAATAATAAATATATATGATATAGTATAATTCAGCCTATGCCTCTTTTACAAACTAATGCGCAGTCACCGAATATCTTAATTTATTCAGGTGTCAGACATATTATACAGTTTAGTTTCAGGCATGCAGAGATCGAAAATTATTTTTTTGTGCCGAACACAATAATTGTGATGTGTAAAAAACCATTCACAACGCTTCCGAAGAAACCCGTGGTACATAAATTTCGGTCGGAGTTTTTTTTTACATAAATTTTGGTTGGATTTTTTTGTCATTGTTTTTTTAGAACGACTGTTGGAAAATATTATTCGTTTAGAGATGGTAATCTTCGCGTAAACGCCCGTCGACCTGAAGTGATCGTCACAACTGTATTAATCATATACAATTTGATGCACTTAACGTCATAATGCAGCTACACATACTTGATGTGAGGAGGGATTGATTGTCATTTATTTTTATATAATGTAATGCTACCTATATAGATATTTTGCAGAATTTTAGGGGGCTTTCCATTGATCCAATCCATTAATGTTGCCTTCGTATAAAGATTTCGGACAGCCGACCAGCCGAGAATATCACCTTCCAATATTTTTGTTGTTTTTTTCTACCAATTATCGTCTAAACGCTGTAGAGTGAGAGTGAGTGATTACAGTAGAGATATTATAATTTAGGAACTGGATTTGTTTATGGAAATGCTCGCTTCGCTATTTTAAGATCACTGCGTGTCTCGAAACGCTGTGGGTGTTACATTTACATATTATATGCGTAACTTTGACTGCGCCTGGACCAGGACCGGTAACTACCAAAAAAAAAAAAATATATTTAACAAAAAAAAACAATTATGTAAACACGTATAATATAACACTGCAGAGATGCATATAATATTATCGTCGTCGTCATCGCGTTGTGTCGGTTTTCATAATATTCGATTAGGTATTATGATTAATGACATTATATCGAACACGAATAATTATTTATTTTATCAATGTATACATATTTTTTTGCTCGCGAGATAAAACGAATCTCGATTATTCGAAGGCATATTATTCGTATGTTACGTCCACCATATGTGTCTACGTGAGCGGGCGGGTGGACTCGGTCTATAATATAATATTATAATTATAATTGAAACCATAACGAAAATCAATAAAAAAATTAAATAATTCTGGCCGACTGCGTGTTGTTGTCATTATAAATATGTATAATAATATGATAAATGCTTTAAACCAACTATGGCGGCGTGTGTAATATTGTCTATACTTGTAAAACATATGTTTTGTGTCTCCCACCTACTCGGGTTTATATTGTATATATTTATATACCTACATTCAATGGCCGTGTGACTATGTAGAAACTGTGCCTATAGTATAACTATGGAGGTTTTCAACGTTGTCGGTATCCGAATGTTCGATCAATATAAAGTTTTGTACAATAATACCATTATAATTAATAATTATGACGCGTGTGTCGAAAGATACGTGTCATCGGATTGTTAAAAATCAATCGTTTTTTTCAACCAACCAATTTTGTATCATTCGAAAAGTTTTGCGGTAAATATGATAACCGTGTATACCTATGGTTAAACGTCCCTACTTAATATGCTTTAATACGGTATACATTATAATATGACAATATTGGCATTGTTAAAAGCGCTTTACATAATTATTAGATGCGCTATTTTTTCTTCTTCCAAGTGACTATTTTAAATCATTATGCAACAAAAACGTGTCTATGTTTATATCGACGTGTGTAATTACAACATCTTTCTTACGACTGAAAAAATTAAATAGCCTGTAACACATATAGCATTGCATGCATATTACATATTTTACTGTACTTACACGCGTATCAAACGCTAGGTGAAATTATCATTTAAATACACGTAATTTTATTCTGTGTAACGTGTCCCTTGTGAATGTCGAATGACATTTTTTTTTTTAAATTTTGAGCCTTGTAAAACGAAAATGTCTACAGAACCTATGTTATATTCTACCTACTTATCTATAGCGGGTTAGCGGCGCATATTGAATCGGTGCTAACTGCCAGCGTATATGTAGTACCTATAGGCATGTAGCCTCATTAACATTAGTAGGTATTACCTACGGTTGTTATTTAAATTCAATAAGTTAAAAATGCAATTTTTTTATTCATTGTTTTTATTGGGAGTACCTACTGCAGTTATACTACATTATTACGATATTAATATGATGTTCTCCATCGGTTATCGACGTGTATTGACAGGTATAATATTGGATTTTGCTATGTACGCTACAACAACGGCCATTATCAGAGCTCCGAACACGTGAATTGTAAATGTTCAATTATTATTATTGTATACGAGATAAATTTCGACAAAACGATGATAATCGAAGTACATTATACGTTGCACGATTCCGTTGCCGGTAGGTGAGCGCTCGCAATGGTGGTCACTCTGTGTAACAGCTGTCGACTGGTCTAGTCTAGACTTGAATAATATTATTCAGTTGCGTGCTAGCTGCCAGTTAATTTTTTTTAAGTTTCGTGTGATCTCTCGTACACTTTTAAAACGAATAGCATTAGTTTTGTTTTACATTTGTTTTTAATAATAGATCTAAAGTTTAAATTCCTATTAGCAGTACAAACGTTTAAATTCATTTTATTGGAATTTTTGTTACTATTATTTTAATTAAAATTATTATTTTACTTTTATAAGTTTTACTCTGAGGTAAATCTAATTGAAACATTATTAATTACATTTATATTTAATGTCATTGCATTTTGTTTTGATCTCACCAAATTTAAAATAATTTTTACTTTAATATGTGTTTATATAGTGTGAGAACGGTTTTTCAAACGAACATTTGATTCTTTTAATTTCGTTATTCGAAAAAATGTCTGTGCTAATACTTATAGTTATAGTGTTTTCATTTTTTTTTTGCTCTGACGCATATCTTTTTATGGATAATGTCAATCAATTCACTATTTTTGGTCGTATCTATCTACTAACTCAATAATTATAAAAAGGAAACATTTTCGCGGAATGACGTAACAATGCTTTAGAATTGAACCGGTATCATCGTTCCATTAAGTGTATTCAGTACGCATAATAAAACAAACCATTTAGTAGATAAAATTATTGTTTAATTTATTTTTTTTATATTTTCTTCTGACAGAACATATAATATATTAAGTATAACACTATAAAATTATCTTTTCTACCTATAATATATTATAATGTAAAAACACACTGTAAATGGTACTGTATAAATTGTTACTATCATAAATACTATTTTCAATATTTTAATTTTAATATTCCACCTACTCTTGCACATGTAATAAGTACGTTAAAATATGCCAATTGTACACATTTATTTGTGTGGTATTTGGCTCTCGGTTCGGACGAAGTAGTGTGTGCGGGAATGTGGTCCGAATTGTAAAGCCGGTAGTTAAGCTATTTCAACTCGTAAAATTATTTTCTGTTAATTAGTGAAATCATTTCTTGTTTCTTATATTTTGTCATCATTGTCGTCATTCGAAAGCTTTATAGTTTGAATTTGTGTGAGCAATTCGTGTTCATGTAAATGTCAGCAGTTAACAGTTCGTTGACCCAGTCGAACATAGATTATTCCTATTATTATTATATTAAATTAATACATTTAAACGTCTTAAACACGCATTACAATGTGCATTTAGGCATAAAAAATATCTAGCTAACGTATTGAAGCTTTATTATAGCTGTGGCGAAATAAATAACCTTGGTATGGTTTCCCATAAAGTATGAATGAAATTGCTTATTTTTAATGCCGATTTAACGTGTAATGATGAGTAGGGAATTAAATCTCTCAGATTGAAGTATCACTCGTCAGTTGTAGCTGAATAATTATTTGCGGAAGTGTCTTAAAAATAAATAAAAATAATTATTCTTTTTTGCATAATACAGTGAAACAATAATAGTAAAAAACACATTACGGTCATGGGTTAATTCGATCAAAAATCGATAATTGGGCACGTGAAATTCACAAACATAATATTTTATGTTGTTATAACGCTATATATAGTGATTGTATTATCATCACGTTGATTATTCGTATGTACGGCATAAGGCAATTAAAACATCGTCGCTACTATAGGTATCTACTGATAACGAAACGGTGCACCGAACAGAGATATAAGGTTACCGAACGGCCTTGAACTTTTCCGTCGCAAAAGCCCAGCCGAAATCTTCAAACCGAAATCTGCCGAGCACGAGACACGCCGTCGCAATATAAATACACACACACACACACACACACACACACACCCCACATATATTATGCAGTACATTTTAGTTGTACCCGACGTACATGTTTCGGACGCCTGATTTGCATCCTATATAGGTACATTGTACTCTCGTGTTACCTCTGCCGTTTTATTTTTTTCTTTTCTTACCGTGAACTTCTTACCGCGATGGCAATCGAAAATAAACGTCCCAATTGGCACATTCTTGTCGGCCGCCGGTTGCCAAGTAGGAGAGGAAAAAAAAGGAAGGCAATTAGAGCGAAATAAAATATAATGTAAACCGATAACGTGAAATAAAAATAAAAAATAAAAAATACCAAAAGGATAATATCGCTTGTAAACCTATTCAAAGACCGAAAATAGGCGTATTGTTTTTAACGGTTCGATTTGTTTGCGTCTTTGCAGTGGCGTGGAACACGGCGACGAGATCTATTCACTTTGCCAGATATCGCCGGTCGTCAGCAAGCCAGCCGTCCAGGACGAACAGTCGTCACTTTCGCAGCCGCCGCACCAGCACCAGCAACAGCAACAGCCAAAACAACAGAAACAGCCGCAGCAACCGGCCGCCGCCAAGAGACCGTCGTCCACGGAAAAAGTGTTCAAGCCCAAGTGCCTGGTGGACTCGGCCACGTTCTTGTTACCCGCCGGCAATGGGCCAGTGTACTTGGACGTGAACGGCGACGGAAAGCCCAGAACCGCACAGCAGCCGGCCACGTCCACGGCCAGCGTCATCAAGAAGAAGCCCGAACCGTGTTCGGAAAGCCCGAAAGCCACCACGGCCAAAATTTTCGCCCCACGTACCGAAGACATGAACAAGGGGTTCCTGACGTTTTCGGACGACGACACGGGACTGACCAGTGAGTATATACCATAGACGGTTTCTGTTTGTATATTATGACGAAATCTCTAAATATCAGACACTCTCGGTTGCTAAAATTTCGTCCGATATTCAGAAATGTTCGTTTGTGGAGGTTTCCACATATATCATTTTTTGCTACGATTTGTCACAACGACAAGTATACGTTATACGCAATAACGCCACACAACGTGTTTAATCGATATTTTATCTCTAATTTTTTGCTTTTTAGTGCTCAAAGACGAACCGGAAGACTTGACTCACTTGGCCCCAACGGCCGGTGACGTGTGCGTGCCTCTGGACACTTGTGGTCTCGGGCACCTGGGTCTGTTCATGTCCGATGTGCTCGACGACCTCATACTCACCGACTGCTCGCTGGCGCCGTTCGATTCTATGCCGGCGCAGCCGTCATTACATGACGCGTATTCGTCGGCCTCCCGGTCGTCACCGACGATGCACCACCTACACCACCATCACCTCCACCACGGCAGCGACGACCTGTCGCAGCACTCTGTCGCCGACCTGTGCGACCCGACCATGTCCTCGCTGCTGGGCATGGACCTGGACAACAGCCCCAACGACCTGGATCTGGACCTGTCGCTCAAAAACCAGTTCATACCCTTGTACGAGGACGACTTGTATCCGCTGTTGTCGGACGACCTTCTGTGGGGAAGCGGCGATAGGTCGCCGTCACCCAAACCACCGTCGTCCGCGACCAACCGTCACGACAGCAGCAACAACAACAACAACAACAACTGGTGAGCCATGCACGAGTTATCGGGGGAAACCGGGCTTTGGGGTGGAAATGATGATCTAGGGGGTATAGTACTGCCTATGATAGTTTTTCCTACTCACACGAACGATCCGTCGGTTATGAGCACATGGTCCTATAATCGCTCTGTTTATTTTTTTCACTCAGGCATTTGCCGACGACGGAAGACGTCGTCGGGCAAGACGCAATCGACAGAGACGTGCCGCCGTCTCCGAGTCTGGCCAAGTTATTGCAGAAGACCGACACGGACGCGGTGCCTTGCAGACAGCAGCATTTCGACAGCGGCGGTGGCCTGCTGCACATGGACGGCGGCGACTCGTGGGGATCGATCAGCAAAATGTTGCACCAGCGGTACAACTCGGGCGGTTCCTCCTCAGCCGAACCGGCGGCTGTGACAGGTGAGGGTTTCGTTCATATTGGAAGCTTATCGTACCATAAATTACTGTCGCACGTTTCGGCGACGGTTTCGAGGTGTTAATAATGCGCTAATCGTTTCGGGCTATTGTCGGTTGTTTCGCAGATCAACGCCACAGCCATCACAACTCTCTACGACAACAACAACAACAACAACAACAACAACAACAGCAAAAACAACAACACTCTGACTGCAATGTGTCGGCCGCGGGAGGTGCTACCCGGGCGGCCAACGGCGGTGGTGTCAAGCGGACCGGGCCGAACGCCACCGCGGCCACAGCGCCGTCGTCGTGGAAACGGTGCCGACAAGAGGAGACGGCCAAACAGGGCGCCTCCAACAGCGTGTTGATGAACTTGCTGGTCAGCGGTTGCGACGTGAGTGCCGGTTACGTGTGTTTCACGTCGCCCAAGCCCAAAAATTCCGCGGCAGCCGCGGTCGCGTCCCAACAGCGTCATTCGCGTTTTTATGAACAACAGCAGCGGCGCAACGTGACGGCAAAGTGATCGCGTGCATAGTGGACTTGCGCGGGCGCGCGCACGTGTTGTTATAATATAATATTATCGTAGGCGCAAACAGCCCAGATTTTTTTAGTGGGTACCGGGCTGCCCCCATCTGCTCTTTGTTGATATTTTGTTAAAAAAATTGGCATGTGCTTAGTACCAAGTTGGGGTAAGTACTACTGACATTTGGATCGGGGAATTCAGCAGAATTTCCGGGAGACTGTAGCAGCAGCCAAACCCCTCTCTATTTGCGCCAATGATATGTTATACATTATGTGGGTCGTGTCTGGGAGAAGTATAGGATGTTTCGACGATTCTCGTAGTATTAAATATACTGTCTACCCCCGCTGATATAGGTGCACCCTGTACATAATAATATACTTGAAGACGTGTGCGCGTGCTCGTGATTGATTCCCGTACCTGTCCGTCTAGCCGGTGAAGCGATACGGTTTAGATACGAACTTTAGATTTGTGTACATTGTGTATTATTGTATAATATGAGAGCAATACTCGTGCGCCCTTATTCTTCCTCGTGTGTATAGGTAAATACACCCTCGTTCGTCCAGGTATAGAGTGCCGGGGAAGAGGAGCAGAGATTTTCGTCGTGGTCACGGGGCGCGTTTTCGGCCTGGGATTATATGATTTTATAGTATAGTTAGTATACACGACACGTGCAATATAATGCATATAATATAGCAATAATAATAAATATAATAATAATACACCACATTTGTTGATTCTTAGTTGAAATGAAAATGAAAAAAACATTACAAAATATATATATAATATATGATATACATATATATATATTATATTCTAACACTATTAGTTGGTTGTATTATATTCGTTTGTAGTCATTCTGCTATAGCATGATAATATTATAATAAACGTTATACTATTATTATTATGTACCTATATTTATACGTCAGGTGACCGACGTTTTCAGATCCTGTGGTGGTGCAACCGTCAACGACTGTGAATTGTTTACTGTTTATTATTACTTGTTTATTATACATATATATACATATATATATATAACTTATGCTATATGACATACAGTTAATAATATTTTATTTTGTTTTAAAAATAATTTTGTCTATATAATAAAGAACAAAACATTTTGGTTTTTATTGCTCTCTTGATCCTTTCAGTAGTAGTAGTATATAATAGACAATAGTAGTAGTCACCGTAGTGGTGGCTAAAACCGTGTTCCTCTTTGACTCGTCGTGGATTGTTTATAAATACAGCATCTCCCAAACGTATATCGTTATATCCTATCGTTATGCCCTGTACGATAAAAAAAATGAGTAAAATTGATTTTCTAAAAGCTGTTACGATGCGACACATAGCTGAAACATCGGCAAGTGTGAAGTGTCGTCGTCGTCGAGTATCATGTGATATATTTTGGTCGCTCGTGATATGTCTTTATCATTATTATACAACGTTATTCGTCGATGCAAAAAAAATCCTTTGAAGACCGTGTCAGACGTCCAAAGAGTTATGAAAATCCAAAATTAAACCTGTCCATGTGTTTCGGCAGCTTTCTACGCCCGTACCTTTATACTTGGCGTTTTCTTTAAATTCGAGTTAGTGTACTCGCCCAGATTATTGGACCCGAGGCGACGGCCCTTGAGATAACACTACGTCGTTCAGAGATATCCATATTCGTAAACTTATAATGCCCCATAAATACTTGACGTGATCGCGTTCGTCACCAAAAATACTATCGGTTCAGATGTACAACGATATAACTACACGTTAATATTGGTACCTAAGGTGGTATTCTAGTGGTGGTGAAACGATTTCGATCGAACCAGGTGTATAGTCATTATAATGTCAAAGAGGGACGCCACCACCGCACGGTGTATATACCTATATGAATATAAGTATGCGTTGTGAAAGAATGCACTTAAAGGGTTAGAGATAGAGTGTGTGTGTGTGTGTGTGTGTGTGAGAGAGAGAGAGAGAGAGAACCACTTTGCCACTTTGATATCGCTTTGCTGTCATGATAGAGTTCAATAACACTTATGTAGGTCGTCTTCGATTTACGCCCTTCGAATATAATGATCAAACCTTTGTCCGGCCTTCACTCGCCAGGGTTAAGGCATTTGGGTATCCGTGACCCGTTATGAAACCTTCGATACCATCTCGATCGTCGTATCTCTAGCATTTTCTTTTTTATGGTTCGTTTGGAAAATTTTCTATATACCTTAACAGCTGAGCGCGACGTAGGTTAACATAAAGATACGTGTAGATGATTGCGTTGCAGAGTGACGACTAACTTGCCCCCCTACCCCTCCCCTCTGACGATTATTATTTCTGTTTTTTTTTTACTGACGAATGATGTTGACGTTTTTTTGTTGTGTTTCGTATAGGAAGATGCGGGAAAATCGATGGACAGCAAGAAATCGATGGTGAAAAACGGTTCGCAGCCAAGGCACCGGTCAAGGCTAAAGGCGGTCTCTTGTCTGTTGGACCCTTGTAGCACGGCCATACCGTCGCTGATGGACTTGACCGAGCACGACTATGACGTAAACGCGCCGGCAGGTGGGGCGCTGCTCCAGGGATCCGAACTCCTGAAGGCCCTGGAAATCGGAGGAGGAGGGGGCGGTAACATTGCCGTGGCATAGTTTCTTGAAGAGCCGGAGCAGGAGCAGTTTTCCGAGCAGTAATCAATATATACTCCGCGTATATCACACATACGTATATTATTTACTACCCATCATATTCGTACACAAACTCAAAATGTCTTACTACCATTCTGTTATCCAATTATATTATCATGATAATATGTCACACTATGTTACTTTAATTTTTGTTATTTTTTTTTTAAATTTTTCATCGTTCGCAATAATAATATAAATATTAGTTATTATTTAAACATTTTGTACAACGGTTACGCGCACTTATTTTGTGGAGGACAGAGCAGAGGAGGGCAATCCGTCCGCAGTCTCATCTCAGTGTACCTACTAATATAGTACGTCGTCGCGTCTCGGGGCCCAAACTAAAAAGAGCCTGATCCCTCCGAGCAACACCTTCTCAACGAATGATTTACGTAAATTTTTGTTGTTGTCCTTGATTGTTGTCCTACTCGACATAAGTTGCGTACATAACTGTAGTAATTGTTGTTATAATAACGCCCCCCCCCCCCTAAAAAAAATGTTTACCCCCGAAATGTACGTCGCCACCTTCTCTCTGCTCCGAGTCTTCATGTATACATTATACAAAAACTATATTATGATATATTATTTTACACTAACCTCTTCCAATATATAGTTTGCGTTTACCATCGCTTGCTGTGTACCGCTTATTTTTAATTTTTTGATTTTTTTTCGATTTTCTGTACACCGAAAAATATATTACGCACTGCCCACGTGTAGCGCTGGTTTCAGGATAAAGTGCTCTACTCCGTTAAAACGATTTTTGTTTGGTTATCATTATATTATATATACTGCATTTTCCCACAGAGTATACCGATATCATGACTTTTATAATAATTATTATTTTTATTTTTTTCTATTATTATTACTATCGTTGTCAATGAGAAACGTCTTACAACTGATCTTTATTAATATTAAGTTTAAAATTAACATTATTTTCTACGTCAAAAGCAAACTTCATAATCTCTTTTTCGGTTACCGAAATTAACTTAATAATATGTACCTACCTTTATATATTGTGTAATTTTAATGTTTTAATTTTGTAATGGAGGGGACGAATGATGCAAGAGCGCAGTAAAACAATTTAAGAGCTGTTATAGGTACGTGAACGGTTAAGTAATAAAAAAAAAAATGATAAGATAATTGAAAATTATTGTGATGTGCTGTAAATTGTATTATGCGACCGTTACGTGCCTATATGGTATAATATACAACTGCTCTTAAATTTTTTAAACTCGCGGCCAAAGGATACAATTTATAGTGAACGGTGATGGTTTTGTGTATAACACGTCCGAATGCTCAAATATTATTTTGTATAATTCTTTTTAAGATGGAAAAATTATATTTAGTGATATTTATTAAGGGACATTTACGTGAGTGTAAGCGTATAAGATATTTTTCGATACATTTCTTTATTTTGTTAACTTTTTTTTGTTTTTGATTTGATTTTTTTTTCAGAGTAGTTATTTTAGTTAAGCAGTTTGCATTGTTTGCTATACATTTATATAATATACATTATATATGAATAATATTATTATTATTATATACTTAGATACTATAATTTAAAACATATAACCATATGATGTAATACATAATATATTATTATATTATATATATATTACAATTGCGTTCAAATATGTATTTCCCGTGCAGTCTACTACTAATAATCTAGCACCCGATGCCCGAAATCTTCCATCACGCCAAGCGAAGCCTCAACGGATTCATTTCGTAATATATATATTATTATGGCGCTGGTATGACCTTTACGCTCTCGGTACATAGAGCCATTTCGGCATACCTAGCGAATATCACCTGTCCGTAACCCCGAGATCGAGTCACACTCAACCATAATTTATTTATTTTTTCAATTTAGAAATAATATTGATAATATTAATATTAAAAAGCAATTATAGTCAATCTCCGTCGTCGGCGATCGTGTCGAACTCTTCCTTTTTCTCGTTTATATACGATTATATATCCAATAACCACGATGATATTATACGCGGGCAGGTCCAACGAATCCAACGACAACAAGTGAACCGGCGGGCTGGTACCGAAGTGGTTACCAAGCCCCTGCCACACATTTCGAATTGGTTTCCATTTAAACAAGGTATTTTATTCAGACGAGCTGATTAGTTGAGCGCCGTTTCTGTTAAGGAGAAATATTTTTTGCAATATTTAAATCATATTAAGAATTTATTAGCTCCCATAGCGATACTTGATAAACTGCAATATGACTTTTAACTAAATTAATTGGAAACTTGCACTATAATAATATTTGAAGAAAGTTTGCTTCAAATTTGCCAGGTTAGCTTAACCTAACCCACCAGCTCAACAATTTTAAATTTTAAATCATTATATTTTTTATACACCGATGTGATTGATGATACCCATGTTTCACCATGTGTACTTTAAAGTTGACAGTACTAAGCCTGTAAAACTGGGAAGGGAAATGTGCGCAGTTAATAAGCAAGAACCAACCTAACCTAACCGTACATTTAAACGTTAACCAATTCGGCATGGGGCAAAAGGTCCGAGCGCCGCCACTTTTACGTTTTAATTATGTTATATTGCGATTATTAATTTTTTTTATAAATATTTTTACCTAGGTAGGTAATAGGTATAATACTGTTTGATAATATATTATTATCGTTATGACGCGCGCGCGAAATAAAACGCGTAAATAGCAACTGTCTCGGGGTGGGGGTTGGGCGGAATTGCGTTATTATCGTTCTGTTGTATTATAGGTACCTATATTAATAATAATATAATATGCCATTAAAATATAGGTAGAAGCATATAATAATATATCGTAGTCGATTTTTAATTGGATTATCCAGTTCAGAACCCGTCGACTGCAACTGTAATGTTTCACGCCTTTTCACGCGCTGACTTAGTGAACGCTTAGGTACCTACCGTCTGCTGCTGTACCTATATAGTTAAGTAAGGTTGATTAAATTTTGTTATTATGTTACATAAAATCATTAAATTGTGTAACTGTTTACAAATTACCTATACCTACCTTTTTATTTTATTTTTTAAAAACACAGACGACTGGCTAATTACTGATTAGAAGTGTTATTTAGTTAAAAATACGAGTATTACCTGCCTACCTTTATAATATCTATACATATTTGGTTCACGCACCATTAAATCATTGCGCGATTTAATAACGAAATTAAAGCCGAGCAAAAGATAAACACTATTCAACATCTAATTACCTATTTAATATATTATTATATATAGGTAGATACCTATTTATATAGTAATTTATTATTTTAATATTATATGTGCGTGTGTGTTTTCGTTTTTGTTTATAGAAAATATATGATAGTTATGCTACATTATTCAAACATAATATAATACATTTTTTAATTAATTTACAAAGATAACTTGATAGGTATGAAAGACATGAAAAAAAAATTCAGAGTTATCGTTAAAAATATATTTTTTCGAAGAACAGTGCTCGGTTGTACCATACAGAGTGATTCACCAATCATATTATGCTCACACGTCTATTTTTCTTTAATAATGAATTCATTCAAATTTTGATTCTTTGAATTTTAAAATACACTTAAGAAACTACTCGTATATTTTCAAATTCTTGGATTTTTTTGTGTTACTTAAGGAGACAAGTCCGTTAAAGGTACAAACTTCTGTTTTCCAAATGAGAACGGGCCTTTTGTACTGAAATTGTTTAGTGGATAAATGTTGAAAATTTTCATGTACCTTATTCAAAATTTGAACAAGTATTTTTTAACTTTGTGTTCTAAGTTCCGTGATAATGGGTTTGGACGATATGGGAGCTATGGTAATTTGAATATTTTAGCATTTTATATAATCGTTAAATATAAAACTTAATAAAAATGGTCCTAGTAGGTATGAATAGAATATCTATATAGAATATAGATACTGTAGTACTAGATTCGATGTTGCATCTATTTTATAATTTTATAAAACGATTATGAAAACTATTGCCCTGAGTATAAACATTCTTATGAAAACTGAAAATCTACTCGTTAGAATTTCTAATTAGATATAGATATCAAAAGTTTCGAAACAATTATCCACTAAATAATGTACAGTTAAAAGAGGGAGCGGGTTTATTTTTAAAAACAAAAGTTTGTATTTTCACAGGACGCTATTTAAACAGTACAATACATTTCAAGAATTTAAAAATATGGTTTTTAAGTGCATTTAAAAATTTCGAAAACTAGAGTATAAATAAATTTATTATTAAATGAAAAAATGGGGTGAACATGCTTGGTGAATCTCCTTGTACCTATATTATTATAAATTTACGATTATGGGTACCGGAAACAGGTATTTATTTTGCCCAACATAATATAATAATTATTGTAAGCAATCTTTACAAATTGATTCAACTACCTACGCTTTTATTTTTTTTTCCTTAACAAGTTTAATTCAAATAGTATGCATGCTAATTCCAAAATATGTTTCGCTAAATGTAGTCTTGAACTCTTAAAGCAGTGTTAACTGTTCTTTCAATTGATTTTCATAATCATTCAATTGCCATCTGTATTCTGTATACGTTTATTCAAACACTATAGGTATATTGTATAAAATGCTTTACTTACGCATCAGATTGCTATTTTGTCTTGACGGTAGTAATAAGTTGTAAGCCATCACTTATAAATTTTAATTTCATGAGATTTGCCGAAACCCAGAATGTAGAAGAATTTATTTTTTTGTCTATTAATTTAATGAGTAGCTGGAATTTTTGTTTAATTTGAACTTTCAACTTGACGTGTTGATTTTTTACTCAACACATTTCATTAATTGAGTATTCACTATATTGATTTTCAACCTCGCGGCCCTTAGATATTACATTTGAAATAAACTAATGCCTAACTTTGTTTTGAATTTGTCTACGTCTCTATAATATTCAAATATGTTTACACTCCGTAGAATGTACGATACTTGAGATATGTTAATTTATTGCATTGTGCAGGAAAAAAAAAATCTTACAGCCGTAATCTGTGTGTGTGTTATATACATGGTATAGGTTAATGTAGGTATATAAGTGGATATATAGTGTTCTTGCGACGCCAGTAGGGCTAAAGTGTTTCGATTAACGAAGACATTAAGGAAACTTTCGACCTTTGTTCGCATAAATACGATGTTATAGCAAAACTAATTATTATTATGAATCGATCTCTCAGGCGCGTCATAATATGATGTAATTGCGCGTTTACCCAAAACGCGTTAAAATTACTTTTTTTTTTCTCCTTCATCGAATCGACTTTAGACCTATGAGACTACGATATTATTATCATGTTATTAATTACTATCATTCATATTGTAATATTAACACCGTCACAGATCCGGCCAATAAACGTGAGTGATTTCATGTGTAAGTACCTATCTTATATACGGCTTGCGTTTATTATAATTTTATTTTTTTGCCCGACTTAAACTGTTGTAATCGTTCACGGTCGTCCGACGACGCGACAGCCACCGCAGACCTTGAGACGAGATAAAAATTTGTCTGAGTATGTTATATAATATACAGGGAAAAATAAAAATAATACATTGATACACTTACACACACACACATACACACACACACACACACATATGTACACACATATTATTATTATGCCATTCCGCGTCTATAACCCTTGTACATAGCTCGTCGTCGCGATAAGGCGTATGTAACGTAGTTAGGTATATTATACAATTTACGAAACATAATTTCATATACAGTATCTAGGTATATGATAGAATATATTATAAAACTAGATACCTTTTGTAAGATAATAATATTATCGACGTATAGATGTCTTAATAATGTGAAGTGTAGTTCCTAGTGTTCCTACATTCTATATGTACCTACCCCGCACAGCTGTGACGACAAGAGTTTTAAATTTTAAAATCTTAAAATAATAACCTCAAGGTATGTACATGGATATAATATAGTGATTGTACCAATGTTTTATTTAAGAAAAATGTCTAGATATTTTAGGGTAGGTAGTACGCCTATAGATACATAATAATATATTACAGTCTAGTAGAGGTACCTAATTTTAAATCATAAGCTACAAACTTTTTTCTGATTATTTAACATTTATACATGTTTTTTAAAGATTTATATGCTCCTAGGTAGTATAGATATGCTATTATGCTATATTTATAAATTTTAACTCGTTCTAGCGATGATGCGTATTGTGAATATTATAATTATTAATTTTCATGTAAATAGATACATTGCTGCAGGCTCCCACGAATTTCAATTTGAGGTCTCAGTATACTTCGCCACAGCAGTGTTACATATTATTTTAAAAAACTTAATC